CCGGCTGCGCTGCTCGCGCCGGGAGCTGCGCGCTTCAGCCCGGCCTGGCTCGGCCGCCGGCTCCGCGCGTGGCGGGGAGGGTGCAGAGCAGGGCACCGGGTGGGGGGGGGTCGGTTGCTGTGGAGAATAAACCGATTTGTCCAGAGAGGTTTTTCTCTTCAGCATCTCAGCTTCGAAGTGTGAGCGTGCAATAGTGCTTGTGTGCCTGTGTATGAGTGTAATGGTGCGTTTGGAATAGCGTGCGTGTAATAGCGTATGCGTGTGTGTGCATGTGTGTTATTGTGTGTGATAGTGTGTCACCCCCCCATCTTGTGAGCCTGTGTGTGGAATAGTATACGTGTGTGTAAGGGCCTGTGACACTGGTGTGATCCCCAGCTGTGGAAGTGCAGTGGGGCTGATTCTCCTGGAAAAAGCAGAATGTTTTCCTTGAGTGTCCAGGGACTCAGCATTGTGCTGTTAAATCCACGTGTGTGGCTAATCCTTTGTGTTTCTTTGGGTCTGGGCTATCTTGGTGCTGCCTTGGGCGGTACCTTTTCTAGTGTAAGACGGCATCCTTGCAGACCTCTAAATATCTACTTTTTTCAAGAACCCTTGCGAACAAGTGGCAACACAGCAGTGCTTTTGGAGTATCTGTTTACCGAGGATCTCAAATCACCGTATACTTTGTCAGTCTTTGCAGCTCCTCTGTGAATTCATTTTATTAGCCTGACTGTAAATGCATGAATCAAAGCCCCCTGAGCCTGTGACTTGTCCAGCATGTGATAGGGAAGCAGCAGGGAAATGAGCAAGATGTAAATTTGTAATGCATTTAGGTCCTGGTGGGGTGGGCTCCCCCTGGAGACTGCTTTAGCATGCAGTAATGGCAGTATGGCTTACTCTGGTGTAAGCAGCTGTGGCAAGCATGGCTTACAGGCAGTTGACCTATTGTTTGAGAGAGCTAAGTTTCAGGACTATTTTCTGTCACAGGGATGAAAATGGGTATAGGAGCAGCTAAACCATTTTCAGCACTGGTTTAGGGTCCCTGTTGCTGATGACCATTGTCAGTGCTGGGGTTTTTATGTATGGACGTTTCCTTTTTTGCCATTTAAACAGCATTATATCTTTCAGCCATGATACACTGTCATGTAATTTTAGTTTCCTCCCTGTTCTTTGAATCTGAAGGGGAACTGTGAGCCATGGGATAGAGGACTGCAGTGCCCTGGGAGGTGGAGGGAGGGAGAGGAAGCAGTGAGTTTCTGGAAAACTTAAGCCCTTAAGTTTTGTTTCTCTTACCTTATAAGTTCAAGGGTTGTTATTGCAAATCCATTAGCTGTTTTTCTGTTAACTGTGGGTCTCTGCACGCTATATCCCTGGGCTTCAGCAGTAAGCAGCAATTGGGGTTATGTTTGTTCATTCACTGTTGCAGTCTTGGATCAGTACAGCCAGTCTTGTTCTGAGGCCAGCAGTGAGACATCATGAATTATATCAATTCTCAGCAATTTATATCTTGGCCGTAAACCTTTGGTTATTGAGTTAAATTTGATTTACAGGGTCTTGGCCTAGGACTAGTTACTCTCTCTCTTTGTTTTTGTGGTGTGAAGCAAATGTCTCAAAGGCAGTGCAGAAGATGTAAATGTTGATATTAAAAATCATCCAGTGCTTTGCCTTCATCTTGGATATCAGGCTGCAGGTAACCATCTTCCATGCAGGACAAAAAAAAGAACATCTAAACAGATACTGTTACCTGCTATCAAGATTGCTTTGATAAGGAGCCAGAATTTACAGTGACAATACAGGCTAAGTTGGAGGATGGGGGAAAAATACAAGAAAGGATTATTTCATAAATCCAGGCTTAAATTTTACATATATGGTTCCAGTTCTAAAGCCCGTTAAGTGGGGCAACAGACTGCAACATGTTCAGACAGGGAGGAGATATTTTAAAGCAACAGCACTAATAATAACACTGCTTGCTGCTACCTCATGAGGATAATATTAATAGGAACAAGTCTTAGTAGTGCTCATGTTAAGAGCTAAGTAACACAAAGCAGCATACATACAAAGCTTAAATATCCACTGCATCACTTTAAGTCTTCTGAACATTCCAAGTCTAATTCTTCCATTATTTCCCACCCCTTAGTCCTGCTAAACATCCTCCTGCATGACACGTGCAACTTTGAAAATGCCAACATTACTGAGGGCACATCAAGTTCAATTTCGTATCACTCTGGGAGAGCCTTTCTTTCTATTAGAAGTAGGTAATATCCAGGAAATATGACAACTTTTGCATCCTGTGTATGGCCATCTCTCCTAATTCCATTTTGGGGAAGTCGGGAAATACCAAGGGTGTTGGGGACGTGCTTCCAAAGATTCTTCCCAGCAGCAGGAGAGTAAGAAATCAAACATAAGGCGGTTATCAGAAGAAATGATACATACTGTAACCTTGAATAAACTAGTCCTCCCCTGTGCTGTAGTATGAGCCTCATCCAGGATCTACTGAAGTCAGGAGAAATTGATTTCATTTTTTCGATTGGAGTCTGTGTCACTAGCTGATCTTTACTCTCTCCTGCCAGCATCAGTTGCTGTGTCATTTCCTTCTTTTGCTGTAGGGTAGTGGGTGGGTTCAAGAGTGCTGAGTCAGCACCTTATCCCAGTGCCTTCAAGCAGTCAGTCTTCCTGTTACTGCACCTCTGCTAGCCACGAGGGAATGTCTTGGTTTTAATCCACAGCACACTGATCCACAGGACACTGGCTAATCGCCATGGATTAGTGAGTATCGTGAGGATGAAGGCATTTAACTAGAAACTAGGGCTTGCTGACAGCCATTTTGCTGAAAAATGGCATTGCTTGTGAAACAAGCAGCATAGGAACTAGTGGCTCTAAATTGGTTTCCAAGCTGCATACAAGCAAAAGAAAAACTTTAATTACTTGTTCAAAATGTTTCCAATGTAAAATGCTAAATTGATAAGGTTTTCTTCTTCCTGACAAAGGAACAGGCTTTGTTTGTTTGTTTGTTTGTTTGTTTTGATTTTTTTTCAAAAAATGTTCCTTGTCGTCATACCACTTTATGTAACACCACTTTACAAACCTCAACTGCTATTAGCATCACCAGTAAGGAACCCAAATGCTAACATTTAGAAAACAGCATTTCTGCTGTTTACATTTTGCTATTTATTTCAACATTGAAACACCTTGGTTTTGCTTTTCTTTTTAATTTCACTTCCTGATTTTGCTGTTCACAATACCAGAAACTGCAGTGGGTTACATCCGAACACAGCTTTAAAAAATGCTCCCAGAAACTTTTTTTACATAAACTCAACTTTAAATTCCATAGCGGTATTTTGTTAATTAAAATCAGTAGTAAGGCAGGCTGAAAAGTGGGTCACAGTCTTTGGACCCAATACTGCAAAGACATGCACATGAGTAATTTTGTACATATACAGTCTCATAAGGCTGTTTACATTTATAAATCTTTCTTGGGTCAGCACTTTAGGACTGGATCCTGAAATTACTTGCTATTGGCCATAGTGCTTAGTTTTCAGGGACTTATATTTGTTAGTGTGTTTGCAAAAGTGGACCTTTAAGTTGCTCCTGTGTTGTCATAGCATAAATGACAGTTTTCCAACAAGATAATGGCCTCCAGCAATGGTTCAGAAAAGTCAATTGTAATTAGTCTTTTAAAATGAATATGTGCTACAATTTAGTCATGGTGACAAATGCTTCCTACCTTGAGAATATTTAGGGCCATAACTTTTTCATGGTGTAACTCCCTCCAGTCTTTCAGAGTTACATTAGGGATGCCTTTGGCTCAGTCTCCTGTTTTGATCAAAATGGAGGAAGCTGTCTGTTAAACTGTTGAGGGGCAGGTGTGTGGGGGGGGTGCTTTGCAATCAGTGCCTATTTCTGCTGAGACTCCAAACAAATTTAGTAAAGAAAAGCTAGCTTTCCCAACCTTTAGCTTGTTGAGAATCATCTTGTTGTTTTTTTGGCATTTTAAAGAGCAGGCTGCATCACAAGTCAAGTTGGCACTTTCTAGCAGTCAGCAGCACTCATTTCCACATCATTAATTTTAACTCAATCTTTGTCTACAGCTCAAAGTTTCTTCCATGAAAAGCACCAAAGCTCTTTTGAAGCATCTTCGTTTTGGTGACTATATTGTTATAGTCTTCCAAACTGGTTTCTCTTTTCCTTCAAAAAAAATATCCAAAGAAGATTCTTTGAGGACCCACACCTGACATCTCTGTGGCCTGAAAAGACAGTCTGAAGGATAGGCTTTGTTTTTCAGAATCCAAAAAATAAGAAACCGATTTTATTCAATGTTAAGGAAAGGAAGAGATGATATTATTAAAGAGGTAACTCTTCATCAAGGACCTGCTTACTGTCAGTGTTCAAAGAGATTGTTTCACTTTACTCTTCTCTCATTTCACTCTTTGCCCACCTTTACTACCTGTATAAATGAGGCTATGCAAACATGTTTTGATGCACTTAAAACTGTTTTTACTCTTTCTACTTGAGCTTACCCGCCCCAAGCTGGCCTGAAGAGCCATGTCATCTGGCTTGTGGAGCATTCCATGGGTGGGAAAATTAGGCAATGGGGAAGTGGTGGCAGTGTTACTTGCCACAGCTGTGGAAGCTGTGGTGATTAATGCTGCCACGGCTCCCCTACCATTAAATTTCCAGACCCGTTAGGAGACCTGTGGGCTAGATGACATGGTGATGTGTGCTGGGTGACACTGATGCACGGGGCCAGGCTAATATGCCTGAAGTCTCTGTGAGGCCAGATTCAGCTTTTGTGGGGTTGCTCTGCAGCTGCGTTCGGCATGTGTTAGTTCGCTCTGTGGTCGTATTTGCCAGCCCAATTCCATGATGGATCTGGCCTGTTGACCATCCCTGCCTGCACATTCTGTCCTGCAAACTGACCCTTTACCACTTGTTCAGTCCATGGAACTAGAAAATTAAGCACCTCTGCTCTAAGACACCAAAGTCTCCAGCCTGTACAGATGCATGGGATTGTTCTGTCCTAAGTGCAGGACTTTGCATTTGTCGTTATTGAACTTTGAGAGATCTTTTGGTCCAATCCTCCGATTTGTATAGGTCTCTGAATCCTAGCCCTAACAGTGAATATCTGCCATCCCTCCCAATGAAGAGAGCTCATTTCTCAACC